ATTTAGAACCGACCACTCCGAGTAAAACGCAATTATTTTGATCGCTCTCAAACTCCAATATAAAAGTTGTTGATGGTGAGGGGAGTGGCGGGAACTGCTCTCTGTTCTAGAGCGGGAGGCGTGCGCTGCTTCTCTCTCATGATCTCACTCAGAGTCACTCACAACACTTCCAACGGAAAGCGCGTCAACCGTTTGCTAAACTTTACTCTTCGAGATAAAATATTATATTTATGACTTCCGACTATAACTTTACCTCATATCAGGTAATTGACGTTTTATTCCGTTTTTATATACATATTCATGAATGTTTCATGAAGTAATGTCCTGCAAAGTTTAACTTTCGTTGAAAGTGTTTAATACTGCTAAAAGAATACCTTTTAGTTGTTTTTTTCAGTAAAAAGTTTCACCTGTGTCACTGTTAATGAGTATTTTGTTTCTTAGGATGAATCTGTTGAAAATTATTTGCTCCAACGTTATTGTAAGTAATCAACAATACAATATACGTGACAGTATATATGAATACTTATGTTAATATCGTTTATATAAATATAATGAATACCTATTTAAATTGAATCAATATTATTTTTATATAATTACAAAAATTTTTCCCCCAAGGTCCTCATTCATCACTGCATGGAAAAAGGTAATCAGAGCATTCAAAGTGTAATTGTTTAACATGCTTAAAATTCAGATATAATCATGCAGGACTGTTTTATGTTATAATCCTCTCACTATTATATAAAACCGATGTTAATATGAAAGATACCATATGTACCTAAAACAATCCAAAGGAAAGTTTGAAAACACATGTACAATTTGTTAACACCGAAAGTGCCAAATGCATAAGATGCGAGTCTATTATTTGTGTTTGTCAACAAAAATACCCCTGTGTTTACAGTGGAGAGCAGAGCCCTGCTTACACATGATGACTATTACCCTGAGTACGTGCCAGATCCTCAGCCATGGGACGTTGCCCGCAGCCTCTGCCTCCAGCGTTCAGGGTCCTTTGTGATGGTGTCCAGTACTGAAGAGATTCAAAAGCTGAACAGTTTTCTGCGATCCCTAAATATCACCCAACCCGTATGGATAGAAAGTGCAGGCATGTTTAAAAAAACTGGTGAGCACCATATCCCACATTTCCCAGCATGCCTCATATTTGCTACATTGGCAATATTGTTCTTTAGTAAACATTACAGGTTGTTTTCCAGGTCCTCCAGACATATACATGCTGGAATTTCCAATGCGTCCGCACCGGAAATCAGCTCGCCTACGCCACAAGTTCCCTAACATGGAAGCGCTTACGGTTTGCGCTCACCTCCAGCTTGATCCCACTTGCCAAGGACTTTCCACAGTCTTCTCATACGCCATTCAGTCGTCCATTAAAGAATTCCAACTCCAAGCACAAATCACCGGGAACGAACCGGTCCACCTTGCATTGCTGGTGCATGGTTCAAACACCTCCTACATAACTGGCTTTCCCAACGATGCTTCCTGGCACTTTGTATGCGCGAGTTGGGATGGGAATACCGGGAAGTGGGTCATCTGGGTGGATGGAGCGGTTGTGGGTTCTGGGAATTCCCTCAACTCAACCAGTCACATCGGAGGCGATGGCCTTTTCATGATTGGACAAGACCAGGAGACCTACGGGGGCTACAATAACGACAAGGCGCTTTGTGGGAACGTTACGCAGCTGTACATGTGGGATCGTTTCTTGGTCAAATCTGAAATCCAAAGCATGGAAAAACTTTGCTCAGCCGTCCCTTTTGGTTTGTTCTTCAAGTGGAATGAGTCTGCGCTGGAAATAGAGACGTCCCTGCAGACACGTAGAGGGAACTCGCCATGTCAAGGTAGAGTCGCCATGTCACCCTCACATCTTTGCATAATAATTTCCACTCTCCCGCCATGCGAATACAGCCAAGTTTTGATTGGTAACAACAGGCTGAGATGGTTGTAAATATTTCATCCATGCGGTAATGCTGAGACCCACCCTTCAGAATATACTCTTCACTTCACATGAGTAATGGACCCTTATTCTTTTCTGAAGAGAGGACACATGGTCTTTACAGACTTGGAGAGCTCAAGAACTATGACTCACGATGATGACATCTTAAAATTGGCAGACTAGAAACAAACTTGGGTTGCCGGCTGTTCGGTGGCCCCAGACAGATGAATTTTCTCAAAAAAGATCAATTTTCTGCTAAACTAGTTTTTGTTCTTGATTCTTATAGGTTCCAGAATCCAACCACAAGACCAGCTGGTCATCTCTGGGTTGGATCCAAGTCTGCATCACAATCTTTCCATCAATTCTAACAAAACCTGTGTAGCCTTTGACCCTGCAAGTGGAAAACCCGTTAATAGCTTATGTACTACTCACAGAGGAAGTGTTTGCCTGTTCCCAAAAGGTGATCACCTGCTTTATGACATCCTGAAGCTCTAGACCCAATGTAACACAAGTAGTGACATATCTTTTATTCTGTGAAATGGATTATTGAAAAATAAAAAATGTAGGGTGGGACTTAGTTCTATCCATTAGTTATTGATTGAATGAAGAAAAGTCTGTTCCACTTGGATATTATGAAAGTTAATTAAAAAGAAACATATGTGTGAATAATACACTCAGTAACATGCGTTTACAAAATATATAAAATATATCGTTTTCACCTTTAAAGGTTTGATAAGGACATTTTAGCGTTCCAAACCACAACTTAGTGAGTTGCAAATGCAAATTATTTTACGAAAATAACAACCTGATGTTCGATGAATGGAAAAATGATCCTTATGAATCCGTTCTTTTTATTGAGGCCATCAAAAAGATTTGTGAAATTGTGAATCATTTGGAATATTACCGAGTTCACAATACTGATGACTGCAAGTTGCACTGCAAGTCATTTTTCAGTTACCTGGGAACCGTTATTGTGGTGTATACTTTTAGTTTGTGAGACTGACATTATTTATTCACTGTTTGTTCATATGAAAATGTGTAAGTAAAGAGTCATATTCAATATATATTGTGTTTTAGGACAGTGGTTCCCAACCTGAGGGGCGCGGAAGCAGATATACTTTGAGGTAGGGCTGGGCGATTAAACGATAACTATAATTATAGTGATATAATTTTCCTCGATAAAACGAGTTCGATAAATATTCGATTCAATGTTTATGAGCCAAAAGCAGAACAAAACAGCGCTACTCATTTGAACCGCGTCACACGGTCCATTTATTCTCTCGCGCTTGGTTCTAACGGCGGCGCAGCGTAGAGCGAGGCTGACTAGAGCAGATGTGCTTACTCACTGATGGCGCAACCACTAAACGGCGCTGTGAGATCCAATGTGAAGCGCTTGAATTCAGCGAAGAACACAAATGACTGATATAAACTAGTATCAGTCAACTGATATAAACTATCCAGATGAAACAGCGCTGACAAACAGCAGAAAAACTGCAACGATACAGTCAGAAGGCCTTTCAATCTACAAATCGCCATCGTTTAACTTATCTTGGTTTTATTGTAGGAACACTAACTGCACCATGGTATTTTGGCAGAAATGTGTGATATTTATATCGAATTTATCATATTAATTTAGACATGTATTAAAGGAGTAATGGAATGTGGAAACACTTTTAGGAGATAGTGACTCCCTATTTTTTGTTTGTGTTGGTTTTGTGTTTAGTTGTTGATTTGCTATCTTTTTCATATTTGTTTTGTGTTTTATGCTTGTGTTGTTTCATTTTGCTTTTGTTTTGTGTGGTTTTGTTTTGTTATCTTTTGCATTTTTGTTTTGTTTTATGTTATTTTTTTTTTTTTATTTTTTTTTTTATTGTGTTTTTTTTGTGAAGTTTTGTTGTGTTTTGTCATCTTTTGCATTTTGTTTTGTAATTTTTTTTGTTTTGACTGGAGCCCTAAAATGCAGTTTCTTGTGCGTTTGACCATGTGCCATAATCCAGGCTTTTTCCTTCTTCATTTCAGAGCAGCTGGACTTTGGTTTTCCTGGAACCTCGTTCTTCTCACAAGTCAGCAATGAGATTCATTCCAAACCTGTGAGTTAGACAGAGCTCACGGCTGATTTTTATTAGATTCACTATAAACATACACTATAAGGATCCAAATGCAGTCACTATTGACACAGACATTCAATATAATTGTCTAATGACCTGATCTTACATTATCCTCCTCTTTCTCCACAGGATACAAATGTAACCTTGTTCCCTGAAAATGATCTGACTCGTCATGTTTCCCTCTTGAGTGCCATTTTGAGAGTTATGGACCGCAAAGCAGACATCCTCACACATTCTGATCTTCTGTACCTCACAGAAACCATCAATAAGGCCACTCAACTCAATAAAATAGTCGTTTCCACTGATGTCTTCATATCTATGATCCGCAATTGCTTGGAACTAGTCAGCAGGCTCATCAACCCTGATATGGCCGAACAATGGGAGGATTTGATAGCACATGGGGTATGTTATGAGACTGAAATAGACTCTTCTGAAACCAAATCCTCTAAAAAAGACCACTCTTCTGTCAAGTTTACAGTCAGTTTCCTGTATTTTCATAGAATTACCCTGGACCGTTGACAATGGTGGAGACCATTGACAAGCTGCTGTGTATGCTGGCGGATGCTCTCTGGATCGAGCGCAAAAGCTTCACAATGTCAACAAAGAACATGGGTACAGTGGTTTTTTGCCTCAGTTAGCATCATCTCTGACCTCTGAAAAATGGGAGTCAATATTTGTTTTCTTGAGAGGTAGAGTAATAAAGATAAACCTCATTGCATTCAAGCAGTTATTACTATTTAGCCATGGCAATTTTGGTTGTCCCCCCATAAAAACTGTACAAACAATGTTGAGTTTTTGTTATTTTGAGAGTCACGAGATCAATTGCTTCCTTAGATATTCATCTGGAGCCGCGGAGGCTGACGCCAATGAGCTGCGGTTGTGTGTTCAAGCCCTCGGTTCACGGCGGACAGTTCGGCAGCCATGATGAGATCCTCATACCAGAGTCAGAAATGCAGAGAGTCTTTTCTCTGGGTGAGACATAAAGGGCTTTTGGGTAGTTTTTGTATTTCTACAGATAAATGCCACGATTTAATCAGAAGCTAATATTTTTTTGACAGGCCACAAGGAAGTGATGGTTATTCATACCTACTACAGTAACCTGTTAGAGATGTTGTCCAGACTGGAGGTGAAAACCCTTGCTGACCAACAGGCAGACAAGAGGTTAGCATGAGCATGCTGAATTTTCTACACCAATATTAATCTTCACATTTGGATTTATAGTTGATTGGCGTCATAATTTTTTTGTTCATGTATTTGCAGGCATCACACTGGTCAGCTGGCCACAGCAGTAATCTCAGCAACAGTTCGAGATGTTTCCAGGGCAGAAAATGTTCCTGTCTCTGTCCAGTACACCTTATCCTCTGGGATTACGGTAAAAAGACACTTAAAAACGTTTTAAGAAGTGAATATATTTGATTAACCTCTGATGCAGGGTTATTGTTGTTAACAAACTAAAACCATAAAAAAAACAAAAAACATTTTTGTTACTGAGAATAAAATAAACGTTAACAGAAATAAAATAAAAAATATATAAAAAACAAACTTGTTTTATTTCTTATTTTCATTTAGTTTAACTTTAAGTACTAAAATAACTAAAACTAAAAATGAAATATTCATTATTAACTATGTAGACAAGCTAATAAAAATTATTAAAACTTTAAAACAAAATGACTAAAACTTTGATTAAAATGAAAGTGAAAACAGAAAATCTAAAAAGAAAACTATAATAGTTTTAAATTATATAAAAATAATGATTTTCCTTTTTCTTCTTTAGGCAGAGTATTCCAAACAAGTCACTCCCGTCTGCGTCTTTTGGAATATCATGTAAGAGAACGTAATGCTGTTATAAAACTGCTAACAGGTGTCATGTCATATTACAGTCTCTGATGTAGTGTCTCATGTCCAAAGGGCGGGTCATGCAAGTGCTTGGTCCAAGAAAGGGTGCAGAGCACTGCCTTCTCCTCCTGATGTCACTTCCTGCTTCTGCAACCACACCACCAATTTTGCTGTCCTCATGAATTATATGGAGCACAGGGTATGTTTAGACTTTGTGCTTTCAACTGTAAGAAAAATCTAACAAAGAATCTGTTTACATTTTATATATGAAGAGTTCATTTGCAAAAACAGATAACTCCGCTAACTAACACAATAATAACATAAAAAAAAACAGGATTTTTGAAAAAAAAAAAAAAAACCGGACTTGCCTGTTTTTGCAGATAAACTTCATATATTGTTTTTATTATACTATATTTATTTATATTACTTACATTTATGTTTATATACACACACAAACTAATATATAAATGTTATAAAATATACAAATATAAATGTAGAATAATAAGATATATTACATAATATTATATATTATACGATAATATAACAATACAATATTATTTATATACATTACTCATTTTATTTATGAATAAATTATTTATACTAATGAAAATGTGGTATATAAAAAACATACTTATACACACACTAATATAAATATGGTGTGTGTGTGTATATTTATTTTTTTTTGTATAAACACAAATATTTATACTAATATAAATAGGGTACAATATGTAAGACTAAAAGTTAAGTTATTGCCTGAAAAATGTTAATAAGCTGTTTGATCTTTTACATAAATATGCTGTCCTCACTGATCACATTTTCCTGTTATAACACAATCTGTCCAATAGAGGCCACTGTTAGCTTACAAACGCAAGCGGGCCTTAATAGTAGTCTTTGTGGTTTGTATTGAGCATTATGTGAGAAGTTTGTCTGCAGAACTTCATAACGAGCAAACCTGATCTCACATTAATGCCTAAGCGCCACTCCAGCGCAGTAATGGCATCAGTCCCACGGTAGTTAACGTATGTTTCCCAGACAGTTAGATTGAGAGACAGACAGAGCGTTGTGTTTTGATGGGTCTTTTCCCCGCAGTGGAGTGCTAAAGAGGAGAGCATTCTGACGAAGCTGACGTTTATCGGATCCGGAGCGTCTCTCTGCGCACTGGTGGTGACCTTGATGCTGTTTACCGTGTTAGAGTAAGTGCTTTTCACCGATGCACTACCTGCATGACAAGAGCCGTGTGCTTCTGTTGGGGCTCCTGCATGATGTGCCCTGGCAGCATTTGATTCGCTCTCTTTTCTGATGTCTAACTTCAAGTGTTGGGTTCAGAAGGGTCACGACAGCATAACATTTGCTTGACTCTCAGCAGCACGCCGTCAATAGCACTCAGTTGTGAGGCTGAATAAGTATTGAAAACCACTAATCGGCTAATTAGCGCTCAGTGCCAAATGAGCCTGAAGCTGAAGTTTTATGGTGGCATTACAGGAGAGTTAATTAAAGGGAAGGGTCACACAAAGAGGTTAATCAACGCAGTATCAGCCAAGCTGGTTTCTTTAAGAGATTGATGGCCTGTTTGCTGCTAATCAACCCACACACATACTGCATCTGGGTTACCAAAATACATACAATTACATACAAGAGGTTTTTGCCTTATTCTCAAAATGTGTCTGAATGATTGCGAAAAATGCATATATGACAAAAAGTGTTTTGTATTTTTTTAACAGCATCCCGAAATCAGATCGGACATCAGTTCACAAAAATCTTTTTGTGTCTCTGACTTGTGCTCAAATTGTCCTTCTCTGCAGTGGTTCTGCTGTTCATAATAAGGTTTGGTGTTTTTCACACATTTACTCGTCTCCCGTCCCTCTCTCCCGCTGCAGACTTCACTGAACCACGCCCCCCTCGCCACAATATATAACATTGTATAAAGTTTATATTGTTTCATGTATTTTTATATAATACAAAAATATACTCGTGTGGCAAAGTGTTCTTTTAATTTTTTTTATATATGTGCACTTACATATATGTGTATATTTAATATGTATAATAACAACAGCAACAAAAATAAATAAAACAACATAAATAAATAAATAAATAACATGCTAAATGTTTTTGTTAGGTGTGTTTAATAACACAATAAATACATACACATACAAATATATAATTAAAACGTTTTTATTACACATATATTTAATTTATTGTATTTTTATAATGTTACAGTATGCGATATTTGTATTAGAGCTGCCACTAATGACTGTTTTTATTTCGATTAATCTATCGACTAATTTATCGATTAATCGATTAATCTAAACGATTAATTTCCCACACAAAAAATCAACAATTTTACTTTTTATATTGAATATATATGAAATTTTTTTTCTTTGTTTTAACAGCATCCCGAAATCCGATCGGATATCAGTCCACAAAAATCTTTTTGTGTCTGTGACTTGTGCTCAAATTGTCCTTCTCTGCAGTGGTTCTGCTGTTCATAATAAGGTTTGGTGTTTTTCACACATTTATTTGGTAGCATAATATTCAAAATTAGGTTGTAATTGTTGGTATATTTTAACAGAATATTTAATTAATTAATGAATAAGATGCTAAATCATTGCTTTTTGTAATTTTTGTTATTATTTATATAGCAGTGTTATTTTAGCATTATTTATGTGCTCAATTATAGTATTTATTAATATTTTAAATTAGCTTTTATTTTTATATTTGCAGTTTTTATTTTAATTAATTTTAGTTATAATTATTTTATTATAATTTAATTATTGTAGTTTAATTATTTTAATATAATTATATTAATATAATAATAATATAATCATTTATTTTTATTTCAGTTTTAGCTTTAGTTATGTTAGTACTTCAACCTAAACTTATTTATTTCAGTTAATTGTGAAGGCAACATTTCTATTTTTTCTATTTGTTTTATTATCTAATATTTATTTTATTTTAATTAAACTTTATTTCAGTTGTGTAACATTTAAAAAAAATTATTATAGATTTAGCTTTAGTTGATAACAGCACAGCTATGCATAAGAATATTTTATGATATTATTAATAATGTTTTTTATATAAAATAATCTAACACTTTACAATGAGGTTCCATTTGTTAATAATAGGTAACTACATTAGTTCAAATAAACTAACAATAAAAAATACTTCTAAAGCATTTAAGGCATTGTAACGTTTACTAATACATTATTCAACTCAAAATTTGTATCTATTAATGTTAGTTACTGGACCTGAGCTAAAATTTTTAATTAATTTTTAAATCAATAATTTTTAAGTTTAGTTCAGTAATTTTAGTACTTCAGCTTATTCAATTTCAGTACGTCTTAATTGTTTTTCTTTTTTAAGTTTTATTTCAAGTTTTCATCCAATTTCAGCTTTATTTCAATAACGTAACACCATTTTTATTATTTTAGTTTGCAACACTGCTGTACACAATAAATTGTAATTCTTTTTAAAACTGGTATAAATGTATTAATAATATTAATGTAACAGTCTGTTTAATCGGAATCAGACAGAGCTTTATTTAGCATTAGTATACGCCATGCAAGGTCATGTGTTACAGTGTTTTTACTATGTTTAAGGGTGTCAAGTTCAAAATCACTCGAACGCACATCCTCTAGTGGCTTATTGCTTTATTAAATGCATCAGGCCTATGATATTGAATTTTTAAAAAAGAAACCAAGTCTATTTTTAGAACAAACTCAGTAGCAGCAGTCTGACAGTGTCTTAAAACGGCATTAGTGCTGTAGCCATATTTGGCGTTGGATAAGTAAGGCTGCGTTTGTGTGGCTGTTTGATCTTTTGAACCTTGACCCGCCTGCTCTCTGACCTTTGCCCTGTAGGTGGCCTGCACGCTTGTGGCAGCTCTGATGCATTTGTTCTTCATGGCAGCCTTCAGCTGGATGCTGGTGGAGGGCCTGCTGCTCTGGAGCAAAGTAGTGAGCGTTAATTTGTGCGAGGACCGACACATGAAATACTACTACCTGATTGGCTGGGGTAATGCGACTCCGCCCCCAATCTCCTCTTCAGTCTGTTGTACTGCGCAGTTATTGATTCGGTTCAAGAGTACAGGAATGCAGGTTTCCTGTTGATTTGATAGCACTAAATATTCACATATACTTGATTTTATTTTGCACTACTTTTTCTTAAATTAACATCCAAACTATAGAAAATTGAAAAATGATAGTCAACACCTGCCATGTAAGCTGAGACATTTATATTCAACCTTGTACAGCAAAGTATTTGCACATTTAAGTCACCCTTAAAATGTGTCACCGTTACCGCAAACCATTTATTTGAAAAAATAAAATAAAAATAGCATAAGCATACTTTTCAAGCTTTAAAACGCCACGTGTGATATAGAAATGTGTGTCATTTAACAGGTCTGCCCGCGCTGATCGTTACCATCACACTGGCCTCTGCTGCTGGGAATTACTCAGCGGATGGCCACTGCTGGCTCAGTGTTCAGAACGGAGTCATATGGGGCTTTGCAGGACCAGTCATCTTCATTATTATGGTGTGTCTTTACATCTATCAGTGTTCTCTTTTATAATCATAATAATAATAATAATAATAATAACGATAACAAGCAGTAAATAAATAAAGGAATGAATGAAAAACAAATGCAAAAATATTTGTATGTATGTTTAATAACAATAATAACATAAATAAATACATGTATAAAATATATAATATAAAACATTTTTGTTTTTTAATTATATTTATATATGCAAAAAAACTTTTATATTATGTGTGTGTGTGTGTGTTACTTTTTTTTTTTTAGAATGTTACAAAATGCAATATTTTTTAAATAATATAGTGTGTTATTTTTGGTATATACAGTTAAAGATATAAATTACACAAAAAATGTAATTACAAAAAAGTATTATGTAGAATTTTTATTATTACTTTAATATATGAGCTTTATAATAATATTGTAGTACTAATACATTCATATATGTAACAAAACTATCGACTAATTTATCGATTAATCGATTAATCTAAACGATTAATTTCCCACACAAAAAATCAACAATTTTACTTTTTATATTGAATATATATGAAATTTTTATATTATATTGAATATTTTATTAAACTATATTTTATTAAACCAAATGAAATCCAAATTTCTATGAAATCCTTTTTTTAAAGCAAAAGTAAAGTG